GGCTGGTCCCCAGCGTGGCCCTCCATTGGGAGAGGCATCGCCGACGGAGGGAAGGGCAGTGTGCCGCCCCGTCGCCCTCTTCCCCAAGCGCCATGGCAGCCTCGACCTCGCCCCCTCCCCCTTCCTCTCTTGGCCGGCTCCGCCGCTGCGAGCTCTTGGGGAGGAGGGACGCGCTGTCGAGCAGAGACCCTCGCCGCCATCGTCGAAGGGCCGGCGCCTCCTCTCGCCATGGCAGATGGAAGAAAGAAGCCGAAGTGAATGGAGGCGGATGATGAAAGGATGTGGGATGCCATCCCCCTCCCCCTTCTTATAAAGGGGCGGGGTCGGGGCTCGGCTGCCCCACTCGACCAATCCGGCCATCGGGGGCGCAGGGAATCGAGACCGACCCGCTGCCCCAATCAGCGACGGCCCGGTTTCCGCCTCCACCGCCTGCCACCTGCATGGGGGGCACGTGGCGAGCAAGCGGAATCGAGGGGACGGGTGAGGCGACCGTTCCCCACCCCGTGATCATGGGACGCAGACACCTTGAAGACCATGACCCGAGTCCACTCAGTAAATGAGTCGCGCCTCTGCGTCTCCCTCTTTTTGTGGGGAAGGCGCGAGCCGCCTCTTTACCACGATGTGATGCATGCGTGCGGAAACCACCCCATGCATGACCCCCACGTCACACATGACCCTCCATGTCGCGCGCTCAACGCGGGTCATGGGGAAGCGCAGCGGACGAAAAAGTTACTACGGTAAAAAAATCCACCCCACCTGCCCGCGCACCGTTCTGGGCCTAGCCCAACAACGCGCCGCGCTTATGTGTACCCAGGCCCGGGGGCTCCTGTCGGTGTACAAAAGTAGGGGCTCTCCTTTTGTCCCCTTTACTTGTGCACGGGCAGTCAGAGCCGCTCCCGCGGCTACATTTAGCAGGGCAGAGGAGGGAAGCCGGAGCATAAGACAGCCAAGGCAACGCCAAGACCAGAGACACAAAGGGCAAGAGGGCCAGGTGGACTCCCCCGGCAAGACCCTTGTCGGGACGGCCTCTGCAGCCCCGGCAAGAGCCTTGCCAGGGCAACTTGCCTGACGCCAACGAAGCGTGCCTCCCTTGAGCCCAAGGGTTCCAACGCCATCAACCACATTGGGACCAAGGCTCGGGAGGCACCTCCATGGTGGCATGCGGATCTTTGTCAAGATCATAAACACACGAGATCAGATGAGGACCAGAAGACGACGACCCTCAGTGGGATCCTAGCTGAGGAAATCCACAAGACCCCCGGCAAGATCCTTGCCGGGGACGACCACGACGCCACGGCAAGACCCTTGCCGGGGCCCCGGCAAGATCCTTGCCAAGGACATCAACAAGGCCGTAGCCGGGCCCACGTCTCCCAAGACTCCACCACCGTCCCCATGCAGCTGCTAGCTCAACCAGCTGGACAGGCGCCTGCGTGGCGACGTGCGGCCTCTATGCCAACTTAGCAAGCACCTACGTCGTGGCATGCAAATCTTCCTAAAGACTCCGCCTCCACGCCAGCCCAGCAGCCAGCCAACGTGGCACAGCAATGCCTCGTTAGCTCGGACGCGCGTCGGAACCAGGCAAGGCAGCGACAGCTGGGACGAGCTTCCTTGTCGTCCCCGATAAAGCAAGAGGGGCACGTCGGCAGCGCATTAAATGCGTTTGTCCAACAGTGCCAGAGGATAGACTCATCCACTGTACACTTTTCCACCTCCTGTGTGCCACTGTGGCAACCCCTTTTGTCTATAAAAGGAGGCCCGAGGCATCCAGGAGAAGGATTCGGATCTTTTGGGCAAGTTACACCTTGTAGCTAGCTCAAGAACACAAGAACACTCAAATACATCCACCAAAGCAGGACTAGGGTATTACGCATCTCCACGGCCCGAACCTGAGTAAACGATATGTGTGCTTCCTGTCAGACCCGCACTTTGCACAACCCCGCGCCCGCCAACCGTAGAAGGGATCCCCAGTGATTCCATAGGTGTCGATTTCCCCCGACACGTACGTTCGTTGCTTGATCGGTCGGAACGAGAAGAAGTTCGAGTAGATCAACTGCGTTGTCAAATGCTTCCGCTTTTCGGTCTACGAGGGTACGTGGACACACTCTCCCCCTCTCGTTGATATGCATCTCCTAGATAGATCTTACGTGAGGTAGAACTTTTTTAAAATTGCATGCTACGTTCCCCAACAGGTTTCACGTCGAAAACAAAAAAATGATGCAATTAATGGGCTAATAACTGATTTTTGCCTATTCCCAAAGCAAGAAGTCCTATGAATAGGAAATTCAAATCTGAAAAGAAGTACTACTAAATGGAAGCAACGAAACAATACAAAGAAATAGACATGTCCTACCCACTAGCTTCCTGCTTCTCATGCCCAACGTCTTTGGACCATCAGATCCTAACTAGAAGAGATCTAGACCGTTGGCTCGGGAAAATAAAGGGAAGAATCTCCCAACAATTTATCAATCTATCTGGACCATCGGATCCTAGCTAAGCAATCTAGATCCTTTTTATATATAAGTCACTTTTGGTCTTGAAATTTCATTTCATGGTTGATGCAATTTATCGTATTGTGGTATTACTTCTCAAAAGATTGTAACCTTTAGACATAGTCCCTCCATCGTGGGTTTTTAGTCACATGTTTAAAACCCCAACAATCAAGAAGGACCTAAATGGTTGATATAGTCAACATATTAATGCTACATGCATAACCACCCCTCTCCTTCATGCATAGGTTGGTTTCATGTTGTAAACCAATACATGATGCACTTTAATGGGCTCATAACTGATTTTTGCCTATTCGCAAAGCAAGAAGTCCTACGAATTGGAAATTCAAATCTGAAGTAGAACGTAAGCAACAAAAAATAAACAGAGCATTGGACATGTCCTACCCACCAGCCTCATGCTTCTCATGCCCAACGTGTTTGGACCATCAGATCTTAGTTAGAAGAGATCTAGACCGTCGGCTTGGGAACATAAAAATGAAAACCTCCCAACAATTTATCAATGTGTTTGGGCCATCAGATCTGAGATAAGCAATCTAGATCCTTTTTATGTATAAATCAAATTTGGTCTTGAAATTTCATAGCATGGTTGATCGACTTTATCAATCCGAGCTAACTGACCTAGATCCTTTTTATATATAAATCAAATTTGGTATTGAAATATTATAGCATGGTTGATGCAATTTATCAGTATTGTGATTTTACTTCTCAAAAAGACTGTAAAATTTAGATATGCTCCTTCCCTCATGGGTTGTCAGTCACATACTTATGGTCCCAACAATAAAGAAGGACTTAATTGGGTGATATAGTCAACATATTAATGCTACATGCATAACCAACCCTCACCTTAAGGCTGGTCATAGTGGGGAGTAACTTATACTAGTGTCATGCATATGACACTAGTCTAAATTACTATCTTCATAGTGCAAAGTAGTACCAGTGTCATAGACAGCTTCATTTATTAGCTTGTAGACTCATCCTTTCTCGGGAAGCACTATGTTACAGTAACATATTATGTTACTCCAAACACCTCTCTCTTTATTAACTACATGCCACATAAGCAAAAAAATCTTGAAGTGCGCTATGCTACTAAGTTACTCCCACTATGACTAGCCTCATGCATATGTTGGTTTCACATTGAAAACCAAAACATGATGCAAATTAATGGGCTCATAACTGATTTTTGCTTATTCCCAAAGCGAAAAGTCCTACGAATAAGAAATTCAAATCTAAAAAGAAGAACTACTAGAACGGAAGCAACAAAATAATACAAAACACTGGACATTTCCTACCCACCAGCTTCTCATGTCCAACATGTTTGGGCCATCAGATCCTAGCTACAAGGGATCTAGACCATCGGCTTGGGAAAATAAACACAAAAACCTCCCAACAATTTATCAATGTGTTTGGACCATCAGATCCGAGCTAAGCGATCTAGATCCTTTTTATATATAAATCAAATTTGGTCTTGAATTTTTGTAGCATGGTTGACGCATTTTATTAGTATTGTGGTATTGCTTTTCAAAAAAGAT